AGTTGACGCAGGTATTGTACACAGGTAAGTTGGGGAACTAGGGATCGAGCCCTGGGATCTGCCTCAGCTACCACGAATTGGTGAATACCGTTTCAATCTACGTTTTTGATCTCTAATGACTTGATTTGACATATGGCTAAACTTCTTTCTGTAAAAACCCGCTCCACAAAATGGAAGTTTCATTTTGGGTTTTAGCTGAAGTGACAAGAGTCAGATGAGAGACCTGGTCCTGCACCCCCGGCCCCGGTCTCAGACATCCCCTCCCCACCCCCTGTGGGCCCTGCACTGAGGGCCAGCCCGGTCTCACCAGGGGTGAGTGTCGCCCTGGGGGGGTCCGAGGTGGGGTTAAAATGGGGTTTTGCAGGGGGAGCCCACGGGGTGCAGGCTCCCGCAGCGCAACCCCGACGTTTTTTTTTTTTTTTTTTTTTTTTTTTTTTTTTGTGGGGGGGGGGGGGGGGGGGGGGGGGGGGGTTTTTTTTTTTTTTTTTTTTTTTTTTTTTTTTTGGCGGGGTGGGGGGCGCGGGGAGCGGCGGGATTCGGAGCTGTTGGGGGTGGTCACCCCTGGACCCCGGATCACGACCGAGGCTAGACAACCATGGTAGAGGGGTAAAATGTGACCCTATTCACCATTCAGATATGGATCCTCTGAATTCTTCATTGTGGAAATAAAAAGTAACCCCACACAGTATCTCGTCTATCCCTGATTGTCAAGGGAGAGTTGCTTCGGACATGGATATCTCTTGTTAATTGGGATGTGTGCAGTGGTAGGGGATAGGATGGCGACCCTTTTGACTTTCTGAATATTCCTCCTTTGGGAACTGGTGGTTACCCGAGAGAGAGAGAGAGAGAGAGAGAGAGAGAGAGAGAGAGAGAGAGAGAGAGAGAGAGAGAATGGGTGGTGATGTGCGGTTGTCCTGATGCCATGTTGCTCACTTCGTTTGCTGAAACATTCTTTTCTGGCTACTTCTTCAGGATCGGGCTCCATTTGCACAACACAGGAGGTGTGCGCTGTTGGGAGAGGACAGGCAAGTCAAACACTGCCTCCCACCTTCTAGAGTAAGAGGATGTCAGGGTTCTATTAATTTCTTGAGTGGCTGGCACATGGTCCGCTGCAATATTACACAATGTAACAATTTTTTTGCCAGATTTTGAAAACAAAAACGAAAATTTCGGGGATTTTTTTTTTTTTGGCCCTCCTTTCTTTCTTTTTTTCAGAAAAGGGCGACAGCCTTTAGATATCACCATTGAACTGACCGGCCCTAGGTAATTGTGAATTGTCATAATTTCACTCATGTGCTTCCGATGGTGTTCGAACTCAGGTCTGCATTATAACAGTTCAGGGGTGTACCAACCGAGCTAGGGCCAGCTTGTTCGGATTCATATATTTGGAATTTTAATATGCATTGTTTATTTTGACGGACCTTCTTGACCCAAGAATCTGGGCCTGGACTTCCAGACAGTCTGCCAAGCTGTCTGGGAGTCGGAATCATTATGTCCATGCTGTGAACGTAATATGACGGCTATGATCGAGACTACTGTCTTCCCCCGAATACAACATACGGTCATTATTGCTATATCTGGACTGAAAGTTGCCCCAAATGAAGGCATAATGACCGTACGTTCTATTTGGGGGAAGAAAGTAGGCTCACCGTTGAAAGTTTACAACGTTCTGTATTTATGACTAGGAATAGGAATAACTATATATGGCTATGACTAGAAATGTAATATCTATGGCGATGATGGCAGCCAAAAAGATGCTTGTATGAGTGTGCCATAGGTGTTCCTCTCAAAAAAAAATAATTTCTAGCCATGCATCCCTCACTTCTTGCATGAAGCACTGGGGCATTTATCTAATTTTTCGTCGGCATGTGTTTTGCATGAATCTTGTGATTTTTTTTTTTTCCTGTCCCTTTAGAACAGCAACATGGTTGCTGCTGTCACTCTTTGATACGGTATGTGGTGTATGCTTACTGCAGTCTGTTGCTGATTTGTTATTTTATGCAGGATTTTCCTCGTAAACCACCAGTGTTGCCCAACCTATTTTGCCGAGCCTGTCATTTGTCTGGAGCTGTCGCACAACTTAACCGTCCAATATTGGCAGTTGTGGACACTTCTTGACAATGGAGTCCACGTCATTTCTTCCCAAACCTCTTTTGTCTGAGCTTGTCATTTGTCTAACCTATTGGCCACATCATCTTTTGCCGAGCCTGTTGTTTGCCTTAACCATCATCTCCGAACCTTGGGTCATTTGTCCGAACCTGATTTTTGCCTTAACCATCATCTCCGAATCTCGGCAATTGTAGGCACTTTTGGATAATGGGGACCTGTCATTGTCCCTGAACGTGTTTTGGCGAACCTGTGGTTCGTCCAAACGTGTCGTTTGCCTTGACCATTATTTCCAAGCCTCGCCCTCTGTGGAGATTTTCTTTACAATGGAGGCCAACGGATTTTGCTGGCCTTGGAGATCCCAGTGTGATATAAAATGTCTCCTCTTTAGAAAAAAACTATCACTCTTTTCCTTTTTATAGCACGAAAAGGGTGTCAGCCACCTTTGGCACAGAAACAACTGTCTTTTTAGTCATGGGAAAAATGACTTTTCATTCTGCTGATGGTAAAAGTGGATTGCTATTCAGCTGCGTGCCCAGCTCACCAGCTCACTTGGCGTACTATTCTTTTGCTTTTTACTAAAGAATACCGTGGGCTGAGCACACTGAGCAGCGTACAACAATTTTTAACGGCCCTTCGCTCCGATAAGAAGAAAAAAAAAGGAAAGTGGATTGCTATCTTTGCTACTATGCTGTTGTGCTTCACACAGCCAAATGGAGTGACTGCATGGTGTCCCCCGTCCCCCTGCCTCACCAAAGCAGTGAAGGAAAGCACACAAGTAGTTAAAAGAGACCTCCCCGAAAAGATGCATTTTGAAGGTCCAGTGATGACATTATTAAATAAGTATTTCCTGTTTTTGAACTTTGACTTGTGTGTGTCATCATTGTGCAACAACCGTGCTAACCTTCTCTTCTCTTTATCAGTGCATTTCCAAAAGATGCATTTTGAAGGTCCAGTGATGACATTTATTATTAATTAAATTATTATTTCCTATTTTTGAACTTCGACTTGGTTTGTGTGTCATCCTTGTGCAACAACCATGCTAACCTTCTCTTCTCTGTATCAGTGCAATTCCAAGTGATGTCCTGAAGAACTGTGGTGACATTGTTACGTTCTAACGTCGGTTTTGCATTACATTTCTTCTTTGCAGGCAACAGCTGTGTACCAGACGGCGAAGTTTGCATCTACGTACGATGTTCCTGTCATTGCGGATGGAGGCATAGCGAACTCAGGGCATATAGTCAAGGTGCGATTGCATTTGCAAAAAAGCCATGTGAATGACAGTGAGTCTGTTTGTTTTTTTCCCCAAAAAAAAAAACAGGTCCTTATGGCCCTGGCTCCATATCCATTCTGGGGAGCGTCCGTCCGGTTCCTATTTCCCCAGTGAGTCAAAATAGTAAGATACATCATTACACAGATACTCATCCTTCCGTTTGGCCGAAGGATCCCTGACAAGCATTGGTTGCTCCCTGTTACAGGAGGATTGACTTTCAGCTTACCCTTCTCATGTATTCCTCTCAGGACCGTCTGTGGACCTGTCAGCTCTGGCTATTCACATCAAGAATCACAAGGAGTCCTTTTCTTCTCCTCCTACTTCGGTCCTCGAGTTTGCCTAAACATCCTGTCGCATCCTCATCCCCTTCTCATATATTCCTCTCGGGTTCCGTCCGTGGGCCAGTCAGCTCTGGCTATTCACATCAAACATCACAAGAAGGCGTCCTTTCTTCTCCTCCTACGTCTGTCCTTGAGTTCATCTAAACATCCTGGCACATCCTCTTTCACTGATGTGGCAATGACGACCTCGCTGGGCTCTGGGACCTCTCTGTCTGGGAGTTCTGTCTCCATAGTGGAATTTCTGAACTATGCCAGTCCTGGAATTTCAACCGCATGTCTTTAATACCCGCCACCCTAATTCTTCCGTGCATGAAAAATTGACATGAATGCAGTGCTAAAAACCCGGTAGGACCGGGGGGTCCTCCCCCAACCGGAACCGGACCGGTCCTGCCGGCCGGTCGACCGGGCCGGTTCCCCCCCGGTTGGCTGT